GACAAAAATATATTTACACACGCAAGGTCATCATCTTAACAGTTTGTTATGCTCATCGAGTCATCCGTGAGCAGAGCATCAAGTTGCCTATAACAGCTGAATGTGGTGATTACCTCTTGTTCAGCAGAACGCCTCTCAAACTGATGAAGATCAAAGCTTTAGTTCGTTTGATTCAATGCTGAGTGCAGCCACACTGACAGGCTCCTCTCTGTCATTGTAGACCGCACCTCATTCCTTCAGTACTTGGTCCGAATGCGCCGTCCCGTTCAAATTAAATCGCCGCCAATCACATTTCCTTGCTCACGCCAGGGCCGGGGGAGGGGTTACAAGGCTCGCGTCTCGTGCTGCATTCACTTGCACTCAGACATTAGAGATTTTCTCTCATCAATGTCCGATGAGCCACAACTTTTATTTCAAAACAAAGCTGCCAACCGGGGTGGCAAGGTTATTTTTAGGGTGGCAGTTGCCACCCCAGTAGATCCGCCGATGCTTGACAGGTACTTGCTTTTTATGAAAGTCAATGCGGAGAACCCGCACCCACACAGGTGGGTGGAGGTGAAGGGAGTGAGCACTCACACAGGTGGGTGGAGGTGAAGGGAGTGAGCACTCACACAGGTGGAGGTGAAGGGAGTGAGCACTCACACAGGTGGAGGTGGAGGTGGAGGTGGAGGTGAAGGGAGTGAGCACTCACACAGGTGGGTGGAGGTGGAGGTGGAGGGAGTGAGCATACACCCTTTTTGGCGAGGTGGGGGAACTCGGTCTCCACAGACAGCCAAAAGTGTTCCAGAGACGTTTTCTGCCAGACGCTGTCTCCTCTCTCACTTTAGGTCACTTCACTAAAAATCCATCCATGTTGCCGCTCGCATAAAGTTAGCTGAAGTTAGCTAGCTCCATTTCACTGTTTCTCGTTATTATTTTCTCACGCTGCGGCCCCCCTGAAGCTCTCTGGCGCCCCCCTGGGGAGGCGCGCCTCACACTTTGAAAACCGCTGTGCTAGATTATATGAACTTCATCATGTACTATGTTCCTGGAGGACTCACGGACGGCTCCGCGGTGGATCCTTGCAGACATGCTCTTCACGAGTCCCTCACAAACCTCCGGCAGCCCCCCCTGAGGGTCGAGCTCAGCGGCCAATCCGATGCAGCGGAAGCGGCGGAAAGAGTCGAGGTCGGTCTGTGAACAGAAGTCCTGGACCGACTCGATGCTGGGGATCAAACCCATCTGAAACAACATGAATCATTCAATTCTAAATTATTTAGTTTTTACTTTTAGCGATGAAGGAAGTTTCTTCAAGTTCAGATCAATATCGCTTCAACTTGTGAAGACATTCAAACAGGCCTGCAGGAACACGATTGGACAGACTGGACCCCTCACTGATTGGACAGCTCATACTCACCGAGTCGATCAGGATGCCGTTGCTGTTGGAGCCGTCGGGCTGTTTGTTAAAGACGACGTCCACGAGGTACCGAGCGTCAGCGTTCAGACACAGCGGAGAGTCCAGAACCCCCCCTCTGCAGACAAACAACAACAAACAACGGTAAACAAACAACAATACACAAACAACAGCGCCCCCCAGTGGTAACCATGTGAATAAAAAGGTAAACAGTCTCACCTGGAGTTTCCAGGAAGGATCAGAGTTCTACTTCCTTTTGGGTCGCCTCTGCAGCCGCCGTTGCCTGGCGACCCTGCAATGGCGCTGACTGAAGCCAACCAATCAGACGGAGACTGCGAAGGAAGATCAGCTCACGTTGAGAAACAGGAAGAACGATTTCCCAGTAATGACATCATCATGCAGGAAGTCACCTTCTACTTCCTCTTTCTTGTCATGATTGTATCAGACTTTTTAAAAGAGTATGCAGCTGTCCTCACAAAGTACATCATGTCTGCTACACAAAGGATTGTGGGTCAGAACAGAAGGAAAGACTGCAGACTGCACAATGTGAGCGACCTGGGTCAGGACCTGAACCAGAACCAGGACCCGGCTTCTGTACCTCAGGCTCGTAGCGAATCACGAGCTGGTAGTCCATGGACGACGGGAGGTTGTCCACAGTAAACCTAAGCCCCGCCCCCTCCAGCACTCTGACGAATCCCAGGCCGGTCCAGGTGATCAGCTGACCCGCGGCCCTCTGACGGGGGATGATCTGCAGGGCGTGGCCCGGCTCCAGAGAAAGGTTCTGGACACAGCAAACTCAAGATGAAGAGGGCCGTCTGATTGGCTGAGCCGTCAGACCGGGGGTTCACCATTGGCTGACGTTAAACAGGAAATGGATGAAGCGCCTCACCTGTCTCCTCCGGCGGCCAGCACGTCGAGTCCTCCGGACCAGAACCACCACTCCATCACGGACCTTAAAGTCGTAACCCTGCTCTCGGTAAATCTGCTCACAGCGCGGCAACACCAGTGGGCTCAACTGGAAATACACCAAGTACACATGAATACCGTGAGTACACACATTACTACCGTGAGTACACACAGTCATACTGCGAGTACACACACAGTCATACTGCGAGTACACACACAATACACACTCATTACTATTGTTATTATGATTATTTCTGTTATTGTTGTGATTCCCACACCAGAGGAGAAGAAGAGGACGGTGTAGGAGGAAGAGGTGGAGGAGTAGGAGGTGTAGAAGGTGGAGGAGGTGGAGGAGGTGGAGGAGATCCCTGCAGTGGAGCGGCGAGCTCCGCCTCGTACAGGAAGTAGTCCAGAGGAGGCAGGAAGTGGCCGGCGGTGGGCTCGGAGCAGCGTCGCCCCCCCATGTTGGGTAAACACTGACACTGGCCATCCTCCGGAGAACAGCTGAGGAACAAACACTCTGTTATTAGAGAAGGGGCGGAGAATGAGGAGAGACTCACCGTCTGTCTGTAAACATAATGGTTTATCCATACATCTGTATATAATGGATGTTAGGACCTAATAGTCGCTTCTGAATGTTTGACAAAAGCAGATTCAGATTTTAAAAATCATGAAGAAATCAGAAACCTACGTGGTGCTGTGAGCTCCACCGATATCACAGTCGCAGGGGGAACACCTGTACCCCGAGACCCCCAAACCCCAGAAACCTGCCTGATACAAACACAGAGAACATAACGAGGTCAGGATCATAACGAGGTCAGGAGGTCAGGATCATAACGAGGTCAGGGTCACAACGAGATCACGAGGTCAGGGTCATAACGAGGTCAGGAGGTCAGGATCATAACGAGGTCAGGGTCATAACGAGGTCAGGATCATAACGAGGTCAGGATCATAACGAGGTCAGGAGGTCAGGATCATAACGAGGTCAGGGTCATAACGAGGTCAGGAGGTCAGGATCATAACGAGGTCAGGGTCATAACGAGGTCAGGAGGTCAGGATCATAACGAGGTCAGGGTCATAAC